GATTTAATTAAAAACAAGTACATCAAATATACAATGCTAAATATGTAATTTTTTTTCCAAAATTCAATTCCCCCTCTGTCCACAAAAAATCAGCTGCCCCTATAGGAAATAATTGCTCGTCCTCCCAAAAAAAAAATTAATTGACTCAAATCTTATCTATACATTTGGTGTTGCTCTCTCTAGTCTTATTTATAAGATGGAGAGAAAATATTTTTTATCCTATTTATACATCATTTTATTTAATTTTTATTATAATTTTTTTCATTTAACCTCCATTAAGTGTTGGAGAGAAAAAATATATTGTTAAAATATATATATATGTTAGAAACAAAATTAAAAAATAATTAAATTTTCAAACAGAGTTAATAAATTTTAAGATTTCTTTTAATTTTAATAAAATATGTTAAAAGTATTTTATAAATAAGATTGGAGGAGTATATCATAATTGAAGAAGAGTGTATATATTTTCAACACTGTTTATTTGTTTAATCAGTATAAAAATCGAAGATTGAACTGTTGGTAAAAATAAAAAATCGAAGTGTGAAAATCAGTTTTTGTACAAACACATCGATCAGCCTGATCTAGTCATGTTTTTGGTTGAATAAGGCCTCGGCTTCATCATTGAACCCGAGTTTGTGCCAGGCTGGGCTTTAAGTCGAATGTCAACTCGATCTAATCCCACCCATGTACATCCCTCGTCTTATCATTATTTAAGTGCACAATTCTTCAACCTCGATTCAATCATATTTCTATAAAAGGTCAGGCATGTGTCATGTTATATCTCAATAAAGGGTCTTGAAAATGTGCAATAAACTTTATCTTTATCAAAGCAGTATAATTTTTCAAACACTCAAATTTAATATTTGGTTTCTTCAATAACGCGGAACAATTTATTTCAATAACAAGGCAGAACTTGGATCGGGCTATAATTTAAATAAATAAACAATTCGGTTCAGAATTACATTTCCATCACCGATATAATATACAAATCTCTAATGAAAAGCATTATTTATAAATTGAAAATAATATAACTTAATGTTCCAATTCTGAGGTTCACATCTAACTTACGTGATGAGGGCAATTTAACTTGGAAGATAATTTTCAAAAGCTTTCATGCGACGAAGAAAAAAAATCTCAAAAGCTGACAAGCATTCAAGCTAATTATCCAGGAATTATGGATCGAGTCACTTAACTAATAAACTTTTCCTGTAATAAAATTAAAAGTTAAAAGTATAAATTTGCTCTTAAAATTTTTCTGAAGACACGACTGACATTTTAAAGTATTGAAAGGCATAATATCAGCCTGATATTTTTCAAAATGATACAATTTTACCTTGGATTAACATATTCATATTTTGACCATCAGTTCGACTATTATATGCCACATGGCATATAGTTTAGAAATTTGAAAAAAAAAAAAATATGAGGCCTTTCTCCTCAACTAGACCGTTCGTGTTCTCATTTGCTTTCTTTTCCCCGTTTGTATACCCAGGTGCCTCCTTTCTTTGACGCTGAAGAGCCCATTCCCTCCGTCTGTCTCTTCCTACGCTGCCACTGAGTTGGGTTCGTCGGTGATTTCCTTTGATCTCAATCTAACCTTGCTTTTCTGATCTCCAATTGATGAGGTGTGTGGTACGCAGACCTTGGTTTTCCGATCTTGATCCGGTGAGGTGTGTGGCCCACGATTTCTCTCAGTTCAGATCCAGTGACTGCGAAGCTACGCCAAACATTCAACCTCCTAGGACTCAGCAAAGCCCCTGTTCATGCCCTGCTCTCATCCTCATTATTGCCATTAATATCTTCTATGCGCTTCTCTTCCTCATTTGCTCTCTCGGTCACCTCTCTTCCTTGTACCGCCGCACAAAGTTCATCAAAGGTGAGCTATTTTTTATTTGTGATTTCTTTGTGTGGTGTTGTAGTTTTCCCCCAACTAGCTTCTTATATTTGCTTGCTCTCCTACTGGCTTGCCAATTTGGTTTTCTAGGTTGTTGATTATTGCTTGTGGATCAAGGTTTTTGAGTATTTCGATTATTGCTTTGTATTTCTTATGGAAGATATACGCTGGATTGTGTGATGTTTTGGTTCTTTACAATCTTGAGCTTGGATGCATCTTTGTTGCATTAATCTAGGGTGTGTGAGAATTGGGGTTGATGTTGAGCTTCCAAGTTGGTGATCTAGGTCCTGTTTGTTTTCAGTTTAATTTGTAAAAACCGTTTTTTTTTTGTCAAAAATTTAAAAACTTGTTTGCACAACTGTTTTGATTTAATTGTTTTTAAAATTATTTTTATTTTTTATTTTAAAAAATAGAAACAATTTCATGCTATTTTCATTTCATTTTTTCTTTCAAAATACAATACATTTGATTATTAAAAATTATAATTATCTTGACTAATTTATATTACATATCATTGCTATTAACTATCTATAATCATCACTTTCAATTTATTTTTAATTCTAAAATTATTTTTAAAAGAATTTTTATTTCATTTTATTTTGAAAAACAATTCTAAAATTTATATTACAAAATAGTTTTTAAAAATAAAAAATGAAAACATTAATCAAACAGGCTCTTATTGTTCAAGACCGTTAATTATTTGTGAATGGTAGGTTTTACTTTGTTTGGCCATTGAGAAAACTGAAATTTTCTTGTTTAGTTTGATTTACTCTAGTGTCTCATGCTCTTTGGCCAAGCTCTATCATTATCGGTGTCGGCGGATGATGATCGGTGAGATTGTGAATGATAGGAGAAAGATGATGATGAGATCGGGATGATGAAGGTGGGACTTACTTGTATTTATCATAATTATTACACCTCAGCTAAGTCTTAATACAAGGAGGAAGAGAAGGATGATGCTTATAACTTATGGGCATGCCACATCAGCTCGAATGGCTCAATCAACAGTCAAACGTTTGGTTCTACCACGACAAGCAAAAATTTGACTATTTTTAAAAATAGAGATAATATTGTACCTTTAAATATTTTTAGATATCATCAATTGTGCTTTGAAAAAAACTTAGAGGCTTATTTATACTTTAACCCAAAAATTAATTATTTCACCGATCAGCTACTACGTATTGAGAACCAAAAATGGTAATTTAGTATGAAATATGTATTAATTGATTAATAATTGTAAAATGGGACAGAGGGTTGGTGTTGTAGAGAATAATTACCAAAAGTCAAAAAGTTGGCGTCCTCAGCACTATACACGCGTCAGCAAGACAAAACTCTGCTGTCTCGCATTCGACATCTCCACTGTTTTCCATGCGTCGATCTCTCATTTGCAGCCTCCAACCTCTCCTAATATTAAACAACTAACTTTCCTCGTTTCCCTTGTGCTTCTTCACTTTCCAAACACTCTGAGGGTTAAAACTTAAGTTATTTTTATCAATTTTCTCAATAATAAAATAAAAAAATAAAAATGTATGAAATTTTAAATATATTTTTATGTAATAAATTTAAAAAATGATATCATATTATTTTTTTTAAAAAATAATTTTAAAAATATCTTTTAAATATTACTTAAAAAGCCACACCATGATTTATAAATGAAATCAAATAAATCTTATAAAATGTACCTTATAAGTGAAATTAGAGGAAGTAGTAACTACTATCTGTATTTCACTCTATATGTGTGTTTAAAAATATAAAACATTTTTAAGTGATACCTTTGATTAGTTTGTTAATTGTCATTGAAATGACACCATTTTTTCATGATTATACTCATTTAATATGGTATCTAGCTTACTTGTAAGTGACTTGGTGAATTGTTTATTAAGAATATTTTAAAAAAACTCATTAATTACGTGTTAAAAAACTAAAATATTTTATATTTTTAAATATTCAAGCCCAAAAAAATATTTTTTAGCAGATAAAGTATCATTTAAACTAGCATCACGCTCTCTCTTAGTGCACATATAAACTTGGAAACATTTCAATTAATTAATTAGGTCATGATTGGTGAAAAATAAAAATAAAATAGAAAATAGGAATGAACAATATTTTTTCATTAAAAAAAGCACTCTTCGCGTGCAAGCAGAAAATAGAAGAAATTTGCTTGCTTTATCTCATTGTTGTGTATAGATAATATGATTTTCTATAAATTTTGTGTCATGTGTTAATTGATTATCTTCATTTTGAAAGTAATTACGCAACATGTGAAATTCAGCTACATAGAAGAAAGCACACAGCATATCAAATCATTCATAATTTGCAAACCCTTCCCATTTCAATTGCACTCTTTAGTTATGTGATAAATATAGGCACGATCTAATTCCTATTCAGTGCATAAAATTTAATTTGTTTGAATGATAATTATGACATATTCTCAATAAAAAATTTAAATAATATGGAAATATAAAAATATATTTTATTGAATAAAAATAATTTCAATCGATGCTACATGTAATAACGAAATCATTTGAGTGTCTAAGATTTCTTGGGAGGTGTGTATGAGAAATATTATTTGAAAAGTGACAACTCTTTGAATAGTACTTAAATTTTTGGAAAGATTTAGTCTCACAGTTGTGGATTGTCAAAATACTTTCAGGGGAAAAAAAATCAGTTCACTGTTCGCTTACTCCTTATCTACAAAACATTATTTTTCAACGGGTTTCTATTTTTGAGACAGCCATTCTTCCTTTCACAAAAATATCCCAGGAGACTTTTATAGTTATAAAATTATATCTCATATTTCAACATTACTTATATCCTATTATACTAGAAGCATAATAAGATCTATATTTTGTCTTCTATTTAAATACTATTGCACGGACACAAGTAACAATAATGTGAGAATAGCTATAAATTCCAACAACGGGGTATTTGGTGAAGAAAGAAATAAGCGAACCAAACTTTCCCATGGAGGCACCAAGGCCACCCCATCCATAGTGAAAAAAGGCGCAATAATAAGCACCGTTCTTAGCTGCAAAAAGCGAAAGCGAAGGGTTATAATTAATATAATATAATCTCCTAGTACCAATACAAGGGAGAGAGAGAGGGGGAGAGGGGGAGGGAGAGAGAGAGAGGGCATATTTGATATTACATACGCAATAGGCATACACACTTGCTCACAGACATGGGACCATTGTCCTTCGCTTAAAATTTGAGCTTTTTCGTGGACGACACGATCCGAGTCTGCCGCTTCTCCCCTCTCCTCCTTCTTCTTCACTCTTTCTCACTGTCTTCTTCTCCTAAGGCCTCACTCCCATCCCAGCTTCCTCTTCTCAGCTTCCCCAGAATCCCATGGAAATGGAGGATCACCACAACAATCACCATCATCCCCAGCAATATGCCATGCCGGATCTCAGGCAGCTCATCAATGGAGGTCCCAGGTCGACTGCCACCCATTTCCCCTCCATACCTGCGCAGCCCACGGCGGAGCTCTTCCAGCCTCATCGGAATCTCACGCCCGCCCACCATCAGCACTATGACATGATGATGTTTGGTCGTCATGTCGCCGATGTAATGCCTCGTGCCCTCCACGACTTTGCCTCCGATTCACCTCCCGCCGCTGCTCCACCCACTAACAATATCACTGTAGCCACTCCGGCTACCACCGCCAGCGCTTTCACTCCTCCGCTCAGTGCCTTGGAGGCTGATACCCCGGGCTGCCTCGCTGGGGATGCCTCCACCGGAAGATGGCCCAGGCAGGAAACACTCACTCTTCTTGAGATCAGATCTCGTCTCGACCCTAAATTCAAAGAGGCCAACCAAAAGGGCCCCTTGTGGGACGAAGTCTCCAGGTTCTCATTTCCTTCTTTCTAATTCTTCAATATTCATTTCCAATTCTTCTACTCGCTTCTTCTGTTTTCAATTTCTTGTGCTCGAATAATTTAAAATCACTGTTTTTCTTTTCCAGTTTGTGAATTTGAGCTGCAAACAATTAATTCAAGAGAACCGCCGACTAAATTAAATACCAGTTTATGTATATATATCTATAGGCTGCAACTCCGTGACAATTAATTAGTAGCTATATTAAGATGAGTGTACTTTTTGTTAATTTAATCGGGGGCTGTGATTTCTGGAAACTGGGATAGCTATCGGGCTGTACAGTTTTGTCAACTGTTTCCCGCTGGAAACTGACAACACTGGCTTCAGTAGGATACCCAGGTTTTGTTTCTCTACTCAATCTGTGATTGTTGCTTGCGCGGTACTTGGAGCACTAATAAGTTGATACATGAAGACTAGTACGGTACTACCACTGACTCGTTTTCCGTTTTGAAAATTTGTACCCTTCATTTAAGTGCAAGTTTTCCCTTTTTTCTCAAGTTTTCAGTCTCTCACTGATCTAGAATTGATTGACCTCTTAGATACCTCTATGCACCCGTTTTCTTATTTTATATCGTCTGAAATGACATCAACCACGGGCTCTTGCTTCAAAATCTTATTTCAATAGCAAGTTGAATGGTCATATATGCTTGGTTGTATTTACCATAACTAGGTAACAAGAACGAACGATGGTAACGTCAGTGCATGGCATTTCTTAAATATTAATTAATTACCCAAGAATATCGTCACATGGGCCTGCATCGTAGGGATTATTTTTCGCCCACCCCTCTAGCTAGGGTTCTAATCATTTCCTACGATTAGGCTGATGATGTCTTCCTCCATCTCCAATTCGTTTTCACTTCTGTTGATGATGATCAGGATCATGTCGGAAGAATATGGGTACCAAAGGAGCGGGAAGAAATGCAGGGAAAAATTCGAGAACCTGTACAAATATTACAAGAAGACAAAGGAAGGTAAGGCGAGGAGACAGGATGGGAAGCATTACAGGTTCTTCCGGCAACTGGAAGCTTTGTATGGAGGAAACAGCAACTCAACATCAGTACCAGAAACCAATTATGGTAGCTGCGGAATTCGCTTCCAGACACCCTCCCAAACAAATCAAGACATGTTTCAGTCTCACAATCACAAGACTTGTGATAGCCTCAGCCTCACAAACTCAACGGATTTCGGGACTTCATCATCGGAGGACAACAATCTTTGCAGCATGGAAAATGATTCCACGGAAAAGGGGAGGAAGAGGGGCGGTGGAAGCAGATGGAAGGCAAAAATAAAAGAGTTCATTGACTCACAGATGAAGAAGCTGATCGAGAAGCAAGAGGCGTGGATGGATAGGCTCGTGAAGACGCTTGAGCAGAAGGAGAAGGAGAGGGTTTTAAGAGAGGAAGAATGGAGAAGACAAGAGGCTACAAGGCTGGAAATGGAGCAAAAGTTTCGGGCTAAAGAGAGAGCATGGATTGAAGCAAGGGATGCGGCTCTAATGGATGCCTTGCAGAAGCTAACGGGAAGAGAGGTAAAAGCTCAGTCTCCAGTTGATCAGGCTCTAATCATGGCTAATGAAATTCAGAATCAAAGGGAGAACCAGAACGAAGAGGGAAGTGAAATCCTAAATGGCAGTCATAGAGGCGGTGACAACTGGTCAAAAAGTGAGATTACAAGGCTGGTGGAGTTGAGGGCGGAGATGGAGTCCGGGTTTCAGCAAAATGGGTGTTCGGAGGTTCTGTGGGAGGAAATAGCCAACAAAATGGTTTGCATTGGCTACGAAAGGACTGCTTTGATGTGCAAACACAAGTGGGAAAGCATAACCAACTATACAAATGCCAAGGAAGGAAACAAGAAGCGCAAGGAAAAGTCTAAGAGCTGTTTTTACTTCGACAGCAACATCAATGACCAGCCATCCTTGTATAACCAAGGAACTGCTACGTTTTGTGATATCAACGATCAACGGCACGACAATGAGAGGCTACAAACAAACGATGGCTCTTCACCTTCCAATGCCAACGCGGTTACGGCTGACGTTAACTGCTTTCCCTTCTTTATTAGCACCGAAGGATCAGAAAATTTGTGGGAAAACTATGGGTTGAAGATTAATAAAGGAAGTCAAAACCAGTGAGTCAGATCATGGTTGAGTCTTTACAGCCACGGAGATTAATTTGGCACTTTTTTTCTGATATGTACGCAAGAGCCAACTGAGGATTTATATATATAGATTGATGAAAAATAGCCAAGTAGGCGGTCCATCCAGCTCATTATATATTAGTGGGCATTTAGGACAAAAATAACGAGTCCAACTGTTGTACGTTTTATGAGGGAGATGAAGTCGCACGGGTTCACTTAAATGTGTTCAAATCAAATGTGACTCCAATTCAGGTGAGTTTCTTTCAACCCATATTTTCCGTTTTCTTGTAGGCATTCGAATGGAGTCGCATTAATTTCGTGTTACTTGCACCATCAATTAATGTCTATATTAGTTGGTCTTTTTTCTTCTTTCCCTGTAAAGTCGAGATAAGTGAACTGTGCGTCTCTGCAGCCTGTGCCTGTGTACCGAATGAAGATGAACTGTGTATTTCTGCATCACTTCTTTGCCTTGTATGTACATATTAACGCAGTAATAATAAGATTGTAATTCAAGAACCAAATTAAGTGACATTTTTCTTACGAAAATGCTTTTTGTACCACACATGCAATTCCCGCTGATTCTGATTACGGTAGTGTAGTAGATATTTCTTCATCTGTTGTTTTTATTAACTGTCCAATAAAAATCAAATATCGATTAGTGTCTTTTTTTTTTGTTGCTAGAGTTGGGAAAAAAATATTCCTTTTATATTTTTATTAGAGAATTTGAAATATAAAGCTTTTTAAGGTATTGATTTCTTCATTTCCTGTCAAGCCTTTGTTTAACTTAATACATTGTGTACAAAGTTGGCGACCGATCCAGTACAATTGATCATACCTGCCATCAAAAGTTATATTTCAAATTAAAATCCTGTTTCAAAGAACAATCCACCGGATTGGAGTTTGGAGAGTTAAATTATGAATGCTGTAAATTAAAAAGGTTTCCAGATCACGATATTGTGAGCTTAATATTTGACTTTTTGAACACGATTCAACCAAAAATTTATTGCAAGTAAGCAACAATGTGATATATATATATATATATATATAAATGCACCCACATAATGTAGCTAGGAGTACACTGAAGCTCTCTCTCTCTCTCTCTCTCTCTCTCAAATTATGTTTGGAGTTTACCAGGAATGGAACCTAAGGCTTGAAAGATAATCAATCACTTGATGATGCCCTCCATTTACAAGTTGAGCCGAACCCGAACCCGAGCGGCATATATATGGCTTATGGTTAATGCCCTCCATTGCTCTGAGCAGAAAGTTTGTAACTTATAAGCCATAGAAGTAGGAGTGCTTGGTGCATTAATTAATTTTAAGCGCACAACAGCAACATCGATCAAGCAGAGAATACATGTTTTTGTGGGTGTGTGTGTAGGAACTGACAATAATCAGGATCATTTAATATTATTCAGCACACAGTGACGTTGCAGAAAGAGAACTCTTCGGTGATGCAGTCGACTGATTTACTAATTTAATTTTTTATGTGGTCCTATTGCTGACCATTGACCTACATCACCCAAACAAAACTTCGGGTCCATGCTGCACGCTTGGCTCACGTCTTTCCCGGACATTTGCTGGAGATTGCTTCTAGCTATCACGGTGTGTGTATGAAGCATAAATGCTCGCGCGCGGGGGCGCACATACACGTGTGTGTGTGAAACACAAGTTGATTGGACAGCAACAGTGTTTATTTTCATGCAGAAAAACAAATATGTATATATATATATATATATATATAAAACAGCAAGAAAAATATTGATCACGATCTGATCTTGCAGTCCATTGAATTAAAGAAAGATGCTTCACAAACTCTTTAGTTTTTAGTTGCCAGTCTCGGGAGAGGGTTTCTCTTATGTAAATATGTGTGTGTGTGTGTGTGTGTGTGTTTTTTTTTTTTTTTTTGGTAGGGAAAACATGTCTCTAAGTGAAACCCGACACAGAATGGGAGTATTAATGAATTGGGGAAGTAGCCCTTGCTGGGCATCAGAGTAATGACGAATGAATGATTGAGAGAGATGAAAAGTAATAAGAGGATAGAGAAGGGGCTTGGAGTGAAGTCTCATCTTGGTGTTGCGTAATAAGGCTGGTGGTGGTACCTCACGTAACGTACTGATCCGCTTACACAAATACGTGATAGAGGACGGTGGACGAGCAGTGTCCGTACTTGGGAAAGAGTAAAGAAGTTTCCTGCAAAAAGTGTTCTATTACAGTGTGTTTGGGGAGACATGGCAGTCAATGTCATCGCAGCTTTGTTGTGTGGATTCGGCTTTTTTCTTGTTGTTCTTCGCCCAGCTTGCTTGTCCCAAAGCCTGCAACCAGTTAAGTTGATTAGCGGTCAAAGCAAAGCATACGAAATCGTGTTTACTATATGTAATGGAAAGTGATGACCAGAATGGATAAAGCGAGCCATAATTGAGAGGAAAACGTGCTTTCCCTCTGATGTTGCTGCCATGACTACTTACTGAACCAACTTCCACCCACCAAAAATAAAATAAACTGTACCGTAATGCCAATAATTCCTCGCTTACCCTGATTCCAGATAGGAACTTACCCTTTTCCAGCCCTCTTTTTATATATTTTGGTCGTACAAAGGTAATCGTCAGTTCTTATCGCATTCACCAATCAGGTTCTTTTCTGGATTCTGCAGGGCTGACGCTGGGAGACTCTTGCGTCATATAAAGTGTAACATTTGACATTTCCGGCCCAAATAATCCAAAGGTGCGGCCCATCAAATACCCATAATCCATTGGGTTAGTACCCCACATGAAAATATGCTCTTTTTTTGGCCGAACACTTGTAGAAATATTCTTTTTTTTCCCCCAAGACTTGTAGAAATATTCTAATGATAGAGAATAATAAAAGAGATCATGAGGATAAAAATGACATGATCGCATATATTTTGTGTTTTGATCGAATATATATTGTCACTGTATGAATGTAAAATATTTGATTTTTTTTTTGGTACAATCATTCTTTATCCAAAGCTGACAGTTCTAATTAATCCAAATTTGAGTACTGTGAGACCCCAAAAGGGATGATTCTCCCAATCATATTTTCTCCTAAGCCGACAGCCCCCACTATAATATTTGATTTATTTCTTGTTCGGCCATCAGAAAAAGAAGTGGGCGTCTTTGTGGGTATAAAAAATAGATGCCAGAGGAGAAAACAATCATGTCGGCCCAAAACTGGTTATCAAATTTTGAATTCACGTGTGTAGAAAGATTGGGCCCTGACAGCATCAGATTGAAAGAACTCTCTTACGACAAGATTTAAAATTGTGTGAAAACTTTTCAAACAACAAAAACAAAAATTAAAAGAACAAAAAACGTATCAAGTCTTATTTAATATAGCCATCTGATTAGGTTATACTTTAACATTGTAAGGCCCAATTAATGGGAGCTCTTTCCATAGTCATTTTTCGCATTTACATAGAATCGAACTCAAGACTTTATGGTTATGTTTATACGGCTGTAATTCCTTTTACAGGGATCAATACTTGTGGCTAACTTATTGATTCGTTTATCTGTACACAATCTCTACTAGATATATTATAGGTTAAACTGAAATGTTAATTCGCTCTCTATAATTGTATAATTTAATTTAAATGCAGAAAAAAAGCTTTATTTGAAATAATTTGTAGGAAGAATGTTCAAAAAACCTTGACCAATGTATCTATTGCTGAAAAATACATGGAACATTAAGTCCTTGGTTGTCAATAATTTTAGGGGATAAATGACTCAAATGCCCTCGATAATAAAAAAAAAGAGAAAAGGTTGAGTGAGGTCATTTGTTGTCAATATGTCATATAAGGTCTTTTTGTGACAATTTATTAAGCACTAAAGCACAATGCCCTTTAATATCAATGTGTTAAACAAAGTCCTTTGGCGTTAATATGTCACATAAGATCTTTCACTGTAAATATGTCTACACTTATGTATTTACAGGAGTATCTTGCATATAACATACGAGTCTTGTATATGACAAAAGAAATATTGCATATCGTGGAAGAAATCTCATCTATAAAAGAGTATTGTATTTGATGGAAGAGTATTGCACATGATGATAGAGTGTTGCATATTTTGAAAAATATCTACATTTGCAAGAGAGTGTTGCATATAACGAAAGAAATGTTGTATATCGTGAAAGAAAAATATATCTATGAGAGAGTATTGCATATTCAGGTGAGTGGTTGCATATAATGAAAGAAGTGTTGCATATCGTGGAAGAAATTTGTATATGCAAGAGAGTATCACATATGCAAATGAGTATTGTATATAATGAGAGAGTGTTGCATATGTAGAAGAATGGTTGCATATAATGAAAGAAACGTTACATATAATGAAAGAAATATACATTTGTAAGAAATTGTTGCATGTGCGAGATAGTGTTACATATAAAGGAAAAAATTTTGCATATTATGAAAGCTTATTACATATGAACAAAAATGAATCATAGTCTTTGTTTCTTCAATTTTCATGAAGATGCAAATGGATGTCTTAAAAATTTTGTTATTTTTCACGAAAACGTGAATGGATATTTTGAAAAAACATGGATAAAAAAGAATCGAAGGCTCTATTTATCAAAACGTAAGTGAATACTTCGATTTTTTTTTTCAATTTTCATGAAAACACAAATAGGTATTTTGAATATTTCCTCATTTTTCATGAAAACACTAATAGATATCATGAAAACATAATGTTTATTCTACTAAATAAAATTGAAATGCAGTGCAAAATTTTATTTCAGAGAATAGCAATGAATTTGAGTTAGAAAGTATTACGAGTATGTTTTTATTAATATTCTTTTGTCCATTGACACTCAATTACATCAGCTCAAGTTCAAATAAAAAAAAATCATAACAAACCAAACTCAAGAAATAAAAAACAATTGGTAAAATAAATAATGATCTTCCCACTCCCTTTATTTTTGCACTGTTTTGACTAACTTAAAATCATATTATATTAACACCTATTCAAATTTTCTAGACTAAAAAGATATACAATTCGCTCTCTCTCATAGCTATTCTACTCTCTTTCTCTCCTTCCTTACAACTTCTTCATTTGACTTTTGTTAATTTAGTCTACAATCTTGCTTGTATAATTTGTCAAATGAGGCATTACTTGTATCTCCTTCTTTCATATTTGATGCTTGGCCCTTTATTGCTGATGAAAGCGAAGCCAACATTTTGAAGCTTTAGAAGTATTCAATCTAATTTATCACTATTACTTTAATCCTATCTCGCTGCTGAACTTTTATTTGATGTTTTCTCCCTATTCCAAGACAATTGACCACTTTGCTCTCTAATATTCTTGTCACATTTCTTACCCCCACTATAATGAATATGTAGATAAATAAGAATAACTAGTCAATTAGACCCCTACCTTTTCTCAACATAAGATATATAAACGTGTGTGTGTGGCAACAACTTACCCACTATGATTATCTTACCAAGCCATCCTATAACTCAAAAAATTTGCAACATGACTACAAGTCTACAATTACGTAGTAAAAGACTATGCTTAATAAAATGAAATCCAATTTTTTTGGAATTATTAATTCCCATCACATAATTGACACATTTAAATAAAAAAGACTTCACATATTCAAAATAATTCTCCATTCTTCTAGACAAAATATTATTGTAGAGTACTTTCATTCAATATATGTTAGTTAATTGATTTTGGATATATGTCAATTAGAGGAATCAATGCATGAAATGCCAAGATATGTCATGTAGCTTTTGTTAAGAACAAGGCAACTCATCAACTTGGGTAAATTTCAACAATGCAATTAGTTAAGGTATCATACAAAAGACCTGAAAACTTGGACTTCTACATTGTCTCAATGAATCATGCACCATGATCCAGTTTTCCTTGCTTAATAACACCTTAGAACTTGTCTTTAACATTGTGTATGCATCTTAGTAAGAGTGAGAAAGAACAATGTCTTTGTTTTGAACTACTACACCTTTACTGATTTCATAGTTGTCCGACACAAGCCTAAACTCAACATAATATTATAGCTGATTCAAATTATCTTGTTCAGTTCAATTTGCACTCCTCTACATCTTTTGTTTTCCTCCACTCTTTTGTTTCCTAAGGTTATATAAACATAGCAATAGGTACCTAACAAAAACATATAAAAAAAAAATATTTCATAAAATAGGAGGATTCGTGCAACAACTATCAAGCAAGAAAGACAAAGATGATGTCTTCATTAAATTGGTGAAATCATTTTGGCCTCCCTTTCTGTTCTAATTTCTAGTTGTTCATAGCATATTTCCAATGTCATGTGATACCTCTTGATACTTGATATCCTTCTCCTTTTCACAAATAAATTATAAAATAAATAATGAAGATGTAGTTGGGTTAAATTTTCAAGCAAACCTGCTAAAATATGTAGTAACCTCTCCTATCATGAGCATAGATGAATGATTCCTTTTCTAGTCCACTTAGTCAAAACTTAAATAGACACTTTAGAAATTTCAGTCTACATTATGAGATTCAATATCTCTATGGCTTCTGATTTCCACCTCTGCTTCATTATATTACTCCTTTGGGTCACAACAATGAATAAGCGGGTAGTGGTGTGTCAGGAAGAGAAGACACCAGGCCAAATTGAACAATCTAACATTGTTGGATTCAATGAGGAGTAGAAAAATTCATAGGGTTTGAACCTTATTGACTTACTCTTCTATCATCTTCAAAACCAACACTCACCTTACTCTTCCTTATCGCTATCACTATTAAAATCACAAAACTACAATAAAACAATGTTAGGAATCACATTGGATGATAGGAGGGAGAGGGACAGGATTTGGTGTGGGTAATTTAACACTTAAACATATTGACACTATAGGAATTTAGTCCTTTCCTAAATTTCAAGGCCTTTTCTCTGCAATAAATATCCTGGGGCCTTTTCTCTATAATAAATATCTTGGTGGAGTCTTTTTGTGTAACACACCTAATTTTTTTTAAAATAATTTAACTCAACTATAGTTAGGTTACAGCCACCCAATACATTTTATATCAATAATTTTAATATAAAAATATTTTATAATTGGCTTTAACTCTCACAATACAATATTTCAGCTAAATTTTTACCTCCCACATGCCATTAGGCTAAATCACATTTGTCCATCCTTATACTCCCAACAAGTAAACTAAATCACATTTGTCCATCCTTATACTCCCAACAAGTAAAATAAATAATTTAGTCAATTTTCAAAACAAGCCAGTTATTTGGCCTCATAATCATGCCATTTTAACCAATCCAAAGTAAACCAAATATTAAAATTACAGTCATCCAAAATGTATCAAAAATAGAAATAGTTTGAAAGGCATGATTACACTTATATATTCATATAATTATCAATAAACAAAAAGCCCTAATATTGACAATATAACACATTATAAATCATAAATCAAATATCCAAAAGAGACAGTGGATCTATGCCACTAAGCCTCTGGGATTCCTCCACGTGTCACTCGTGGCTCTTCTCCTGAAAATTGTTAACCACATAATGAGACTCAAAAGTCCCAGCAACCAAAGTCAATTTATGATAGTATGTACCAACAGTTAAGTGTGTGTTTATTAAGTGGGAATTAAAAATAATATAATTCCAACAAAATATAAGAAATATTACAATACACACAAATAACCATCTTTATATCCCTCCATTAACCTCAAGCCGTAGCCCTCACTCAGTGCTAAATTACCCGACCAAAGGTAGATTAGCTCGAATCCTTACAAGCCACCTATTGAGCTCCAATAGGGGCGTACCACGTGGCACATAAATACAACAACAATAGCAAGTCTTCCAACACCTTCCACAATAATCAAACAAATTCATAATAATATTGCACAATTATACAATATTACAAAATTCATAATTTTCTCAATAATCACCCAATTAACATGAAGTAATACTAATTACAAATTAAAAGTATTGTTACCTCATGGCTAATAAAATTTTTCTAAATAAAATAATAAAATAAATAATAGAATTAAAAACTAATAATAGAATTAAAAATATAACATAATTTCTAATCTCAATCTTGATACAAATCTAGAGTCAATACTATTAAGTAAAATTTTTAACTTCTCTTTTACTCATCAATAAACATTAATAATCTAAAAATAAACTTCTAAACTAATTTTTATTATTAAAATTTTCTTTTTATTTCATAAATTCGCACCTAAAATACCCAAAAATTAAAAATTGAGTCTCAAGCTTAGAATCATAATCCTATAGCCATAATAATTCATTTCTCATCCCAAATAATCATCTAAACCTCAATAAATCAACATATATTTTTCAGATTTAATAAAAATTTAGTCTAGAATTTAATCCATAAGCTACAAATTCAAAGATCATCAATAAATTTATACTCTAGAATATTTATTATACTAGTAACAACCTCAAAAACCATATTTATTCAACATAAATTCATCCATCTTCCAAATCTTAAATTTTTTACCATCACAAACTCATAAACCAAAGAGGAAGGATGGCTAAGAATAAATTTTAGATCACTTACTTATTCTTGAAAAACTTGAAATCACACCCTAAATATCCTATTAAAAACTTTTACCTTAAAAACTCATATCTCCCGCACCGGCGACTCACGCTCACTTTGCCTCAGCTCGCGCACAGAGGAAAGAATGAAGAAACGAAGGAAACAGGTGAGTTTTTATAAAAATTCAGTGGGTCCCACATTTTTTTCATTATTTCTTCTTTCCTCTCTCTTCTTTCCTTTTTTATTATTATTTTACATGTAATCATTACACGACCGCCGAAAGTAAACTTGTTCTTCTTGTTCTTCCTCCTTTTTTTTAATACCTTTCTTTTTTTTTATAATAACAATAATTTAATAATATTTTTTTATTATTATTTTTTAATTAATAATTTTTTTAATTTAGAATTATATCCTAAGTTAGATTTAATAATCATCTCCTACTAATTTATTTACCTCTAAATATTCTTCAAAATTTCTATTAACTCAAATTAACTATTAGAATTTAAATTGGGATGTTACATTTTGAGCAATTCCTTTAAATTTCTATATACTAGATAGTGGAAATCAAGAGGTTTCATCAATTGATACATAACTAGCATTAACATGTATAGGTTTTGCTCGATTTAAACTTTCAGTGCCTTTTTCGAAATTCCCTACAGTTTCTTTGAAAAGTTTGATCATGGCCTCTTTGCCCTGATAAAGGATTTATGAAAATGAAGTATGATGGTATTGAGTACATGAGCCAGAAGAGCCAACTCAGTTCAATAAGTTATGATCAATAACTTGATTCCACCATTTGATTCACATTTCAGTTGTACAAAAAATAATGTAACCCTCTCTAATAAAAGAGAAAACCAAAATGAAATTGAAAAAGGTAAAATATCAAAGTCGATACAGCTGAAGCTATTATTCTCAGGTTACTTATTTTAACCATCCTATATGACCTAAAAAAATAAAACTTTTAGAGTTTTATCCTATAAAATAGCATCTAACCTTAATGCCAATAAAGCTAATAACTTCAAAAACAAATGCAAATCACATCCACATACTACTTAATATTTGTAATCCTTGACATGGAGAGACTCCGAGGCACCCTCACTAAGTTTTGCATTGCCTTTGTAAGTTCCCAGAGTTGCTTCAGAGTTTGCCTTACACCTGACTAACAAAGTAGCTTGAGCCTTGGCAACGTTCTCCTCTTTACCAGCCCATGCCTTGATGGTGCTTTGTTGAAGTGCCCTTCCATAAGAGAAGGAAAGAGACCACGGCTTCTTCCCCTTAAGCTTGTTCATGGCATTGAGATTGACGGTTGCCTCCTCCTCACTCTGCCCACCGGACAAGAAAACTACTGCAGGGACAGCAACCGGAACAGTTCGCAGTAAAGCTCTAACAGTGTGCTCAGCAATCACCTCAGGGGTAACCTTTGGGGAGTCAGATCCAGGTGTCACCATGTTCGGCTTCAATAAAGTACCCTCTAGTAGGACATGGTGATCGTTTAGGGCCTTGTAGCAAGCAGCAAGGACACGCTCGGTGACGTCAGCACACTTGTGGATGTCATGAGGTCCATCTACAAGGATCTCTGGCTCAATTATAGGGACTAGGCCATTCTCCTGGCACAAGACTGCATAGCGAGCCAACCCATAAGCATTTTCATGGATGGCTAGCGGAGATGGCTCAGTAGCACTGATTTTAAGGACGGCACGCCATTTGGCAAAGCGAGCACCAGCTTCATAGTACTTTTTGCAACGTTGACCAAGATCATCTAGACCTTGAGTAGTTGTTTCCCCATTAGTGCCCGCAAGTTCAATAGTTCCCTTGTCCACCTTGATACCTGGAAGGACGCCTCCTTCCTTCATCACATCCACAAAAGGTTTTCCTGCATAATTGAATCACGAAGATGATCTCCTAAAGGCCAACAACATGGGTTGGACAAAAATGTAATAAATTCATGGCAAAACATCCAATCCACACATAGTACAAAATAAACAGAGCAAGAATACCTGTGGTAGTCTTTTGGTAGAGGGTTTCCTCAAACAAGATGACCCCGCTCAGGCAATCCAATACACCAGGGGCAGTGAAGAGGAGTTCACGAAGAGCATGCCTATTTGATTCAACATTCTCAACATTGATGCTAGCCAAACGCTTTCCAATTGTGCTAGTAGACTCATCGGCTGCAAGGATGCCCTTTCCAGGGGTTCCTATGTAAGCCGCATTGGCAATGAGCTCATCTACAATTTACAATTCACACTAAATTGATTAGAGAATTGAAAAGAACAAGAGAATGGCATTGACCCTATGCTTTACTACTATTGTAGTTCCGTTTAGCTTGTAATGAAGTAACAATTATTAAATATGTCTGAATTTAAACATATATTTAACATTGAAGTATTCAAAGAAAAAGGGGGTTAAGTTTCTCCATTCTAATTATCGATCGTTAAAATGCATGATCGAAACATCTATTCAAAGGGAGGGCTTTATAGAAACTACATCAAAATGATCAAATGAAGTCGAAGAAAACTACAAGATGGATAATCAAGAGTGGCAAATCAATGATGAAAGACATGAAAGGGAGACATCACAAGTGTCGTACCCTGGTATTTGCTCTTGAAGCAAGACATGGTTGATTGTGAGAGAGACAAGACAGAGGAGAAAACGAGTTGGGAAATTTGAGGGAGAAGAGGCTGTATTGAGGTGGAGCAACGAGTAGAGGGATTAAATTTATTTTGGAGAGGCAACGGGCGTGCGGGGAAAGCGAGTGGTTGTGTGTTGCCATGTCAGTTTCTCCTGTTTTTTACTTTTCCACACCTCTTGTTTTGCCCCCCACGACTTGCCCCTTTGATTACTAAAATAATAATAAATTAGAGTTTCAATTCCGCATCGACTAAAAATAGACTATAAAGTCTAACATGCTAAAACAATTATGGATATGAAAAGTAATATAATATAATTATTAATTTAATAATGTTAGTAATTTTAAATGCACAGTAGACAAAAAGAAAGAATATATGACGGTGGGTTGAGAATTACAAGGGGTGCATGGAAGGGGCGCAGGAGCACGCCGTTTGAAAAGGTCAAAGAGCATGTTATGATGTGGTTAAGAAAAAAGAAAGTCAAATCATAAGCATAATGAGAGTTTCTATTTTCAGGAAAAAAAGATGCAAGAAGGAGAGAAAGCAGTGGATGGACGTGGTAAAATAAAATGGGAGATGAGAGGAACACGGCTATTCCGGTGGGATAGGCTTCCAGGTTTGGCTTTTGTTCCATTTTACGCCACTTCCATTCCTCATTTCGCCTCCTTTCTCCAATCGACACACTGACACTTTCTTATCGTTATCATAATAATTATTTACAAGGTTTTAGAATGAAACCTTTCGTTTTGTTAAATAAGAGGAAAGTTATGAATGTACGATGTCACGTGGACGTTCATCAACTCTGAAAATAGAACTTCTCTATATGATTCCATTTATTTAATGCTATTATATGAGTATATCTCATTGCTCTGAGATAGATGGTTTTTTTTTTTTAAATATTTATTCCGTGTAACTTTTAAACGTTACGACATGTATAATCATGAAGACTATTTCTCCTTTACATAACTCTTGGGATAGTCTTTAAGGTTGAAGCCTTGTAATAGAGTGCATATACTAGATACTCCTTGTACCCTAATCCCATTCAAGAGCGCTAATGCAAGGTAACTCATAATAATTACTCAAAACTAACTTTGATGGCTTTAGACCGTAGAACAAGTCTAGAACTCTTTTCATTTCTCAGTAGAGTCTCCTCATTATTTTTATCCCGCAAGAACTCTATAGCCAGGACATAACTCTCATTCATTTCCTTCTCCATTTTCTAATTTGCATTACTTAAGCATTAAAATGTGAGCACCTCAAAATAAAAATTTAAACTTTAATTCATTATATTTCAAGAGACTGACCCAACTTAATATTGGTAGAAGTCTGTCATAGTTTTGTTAGTCAGCTGAGTAAAACCATTGAGAAAAGGGAACAGGTTACCTATGAGGCCGTTGGCGGTCGCGGATATTGGATTGGGCTCCAGTAAAAAGCCCAGGGATTGTCCAATTGGGAGTTCTTTTTTTCAGCCGCATTCCAATTATGAGCTCGAATAGGCAGTAATCATTATTATTAATTTACCAGAAAAAATTTGTCTTAAAAAAAAAATAGCAGAGAACATTACTTTCATCAGGTAACGGTGCACTGGCCAGAAAATAGCGACATAGTGTAATGTAAGGTGCCAGTTTATTGTCTCCCTTGAACCTAGAACTTGATTACTATCGACCCGCTCATTCGACAAGAACACATCCTACGAATCGGCAGGAAATGGATATTTTGTTGGGTTCGCATTTTTGTAAAATTAAGTTCCAACTTTTCTAAATCAAGTTCCAACTGAGCCTTTAGCTCGGCTAATAGTGAGCTGTAATAATCTAATTACTTTTAAACTTAGGAGGAGAGGACACATTTCTAAAGTGGCCCGGCCATACCGAGGAATATGATCCGAACTCAATTAACTAGGAGAACCACGGAGTGGAGCACATTGCAGCTGCTATAAATAAAGTCCGTAAGTTTCTTTCATAGCAGCACGAGAAAAGGCCCTGGAGTTAAAATGAAACAGAATGGTATGTGTGTATTTACACTGGAGGGGGAGAGAGATAGTACATTGACGTAAGGTGTATAATTCCAAACTATATCACATAAGCGATGCAAAAGCCAGGAGTTTTGTAGCCCAGGGAAGCAAGTTCGCAGGGCCACGAGTCCCATGATCCTCAACTAACCCATCCATTCTTTAAATATGAACTGACAGGATAGGACCACCAGAAAAACCACATCATGAATGCATAAATATAAAAAAAAATACATAATTAAAAAAAAAACGAAGGAGAAGAAGAAGAGGAAGCCGGTACTTTGGATTCTTCAAAGCCATGGAGTAAATCAAACAAACGGGGGGAAACAACAAAAGAACCACAGGGAAGAGATATGTAAAGAGAAGAACAAGAGGATGGAAGGGGTGGAACAATGAGTGCTCAGTCAGGGTCGTCGTTACAGGCACACAAGAGCAGAGAGAAGCCAATTCTGTGGGGATCCTTGAGTGCCCCTATAGTCTTCTCCTCCAACCACAGCCTGCTGTCCATGCCACTTCTTGTCCTGAACATGAACACGGCACTCCTGTTGCTGGCCTTGAATAGCCAATCATGAACGTCCCACATCATATCCACCAACAATCCGTCCAAGAATATCGCCTGGTTCCCTCTGAAATTCCACCGCACTCTCTTCACTTCCAATATCGTCTTCTTGTCTATACTCACGCACAGCACATGGCCCTTCGACCTGGACCCTTCTTCCCCCATCACCCATTTTATTACTATCTCGTGGACCGCTCCTGTTTCGCAGAATTGTGCCTTCGTCGAATAAATGTTGCCCCCGGAGAATCGCTCTCTCCGACAAACCATGGAAGAGTTTGCCCCTGCCATTCCTGCTTTCACCTCTCCCGATGATTCCTCTTCCTTGTCTCCGAGACGTAGACCCAGTTCCGAGTCCACATGGACGATGACATAGAACCCGCTCGCTGGCTCCGGCCCTGAGTCGTACTTAGCATCTGAGAGATCCCACTGGACTTGGATTTTGAAATCGTGGATTTGGAAGGTTTCGTTGCCTTTGTTCTTCCCTAGTTGCATAGAATTGGCGTGAGAAGTGGAGTTGGTGTTGCTGATAGCTATGCTAAAGCCTTGCCCCGTGAGTTTCTTGGTCCAGTTTAGCGTGATCAGAATCTGTTTTTGCGAGGAGACGTTGACTCTGTATGTGCAGGTGATTGATTCTCGAACGGAAAGACTCTGTTTCGGACAGAGGTAGGCCTGGTTTGAAGGCCCCGAACAATATGAGTCTGATATTCGAACGGCGTGTTCGTTGTAACAAGATGTTATGCTTCTCATTGTAAAATACGATCTCTTTCTGTCTCTCTCGATCAGACATAAACGGACATGAAAAAAGGCCTGGACTGTTCCTGATAAAGGTCGGGGAATGGTTGCTCTTGATTGCCTGAGCTAGAGAGAGAGAGTGAAAGAGAGGGACTAATTGAAGATGACAAAAAGGCAGGGCCCTTCTTCCTCCTGAGATTTTCCATGTGGGAATGTCCTTTCTGTTTTCCAGCGTACCGCTTAAGAGAAGGAGCACACGAGACAAAATAAAAAGGAAGAAACCGAAAATCCGTGTCGCTCCAATAAAATACAATTTAACCATTCATTTATGAAAATTCAAATACTTGACGAAACCGAAACTGCACGAGCTTCCTCGCCAGTTCACGCCCACACAAAAATCTAATTAAGTCACCATCCACCTGGTTTTGACCCCATCTCATCCAAGTAGGTGGTGTTATTTTTTTTTTAAAAAAAAAAACTTGTCAGTTACTTGTCGATTGACTATAATTGTCAAATAATAACAATGAATTATTTTACAGAAACTGATTATGTTAATCAACGAGTTTGTGTCACAAGCAAGGTCTTGTATGGCATGGATGAAGATGGGGTTGGCATGTGAGTTGGGACGACACTGACATAGATTTGATCAGGATAACGATGGTGATAATGAATCGGTCATGATAAAGAGATGAGAGTGATATAGTTGGACCCGCCGAGTAATGCTATGCTTCAAATTTACCACACGTTCGCCCAAAGGCCACTATGATTGAGGTTTCACTTGGGAATCCTTGTCTTATTCTTGTTTTTATGTCAGCCACCCACTACAGAGGTTTTCTTTTTGCCCTATTTTTCTTAACAAATTCTTTTATATCCAAAAAAAATTGATCAGGTTGGGTCTCATTTTTTTAAAAGAAAAAAGGTTCTCCCGACCGATGTTTTGTTCATCTACAAGCCATTGCTAAGGTTTTAAGTTACAAAATCTGATCCTTTTCCCTTGGATGCAATAGAGACAAAGGAATAGAGGAATGGCCATCCCCACGTTTTCGTGTCCTGTGATTCATAACGCTTTTTTGAAAGTGATATTGTTGAATTACGTAGGAAGCACAAATCTAACTTCCTCAATAGGGAATGGGCGTTCAGAGGTCGATGTATATTGAGAGATACTAATCATCCACTTTATTTTCTCATCAAACGAAAGGAGCATAGATTATAATTGATTATATTATACAATGAGATTATATATGAATATTTTTTAAAAAATTAATTTTAATAGAATTGAAAATGTTTGAATGATTTAATTATAATCAATTTTAGATATGCAAATTACCATAAAATACATTATCTTTTAAGATATGAATATTAATATAAATTGTATATAATAATATTAAAATTGTTACATTTTATTTAACAAATAAAATATGTAAAATAGTGATCCAATTAATATTTATATATAATATTTAACATATATATGATTAATTATGAAAATCATATTTGAAAATTATATTAAAATTTACACACTAACTCACAAAGTATCCAGATTAGCGAAATAATTGAAAGTTGGATTATATACAGGTTTTCTATTCTTTTTAGCTTGTCAGCGATTAGTGTAATTAGTCTCTTTATTTTTCAAATGAAAGATATATATATTCAACATATACACAATAATGAATTTAAACATATGCCCAAAAAAAAAAAAAGCAAGCAAGCAAGCAAAGATGTTTCGGTGTATCTGGAATGTGAAAACAAAGAATGATGAAGATGACAATGGATTTAAAAAACGACGTGTGAATGATGAAGATGGCAGTGGATATAAGAAGAAAAGAAGGGCACGCGGCAAGAGGAGTATATCCAGAAGATAAAAATTATTTAATAAGTAATAAATGAATAAACAGTAAAATTGATTCTCATCATAAGCTACTCCTATCAGCTTAAAGAAAACCATGGTTTTGATATAAATAATTGATTATTTTTTGCATCCAAACAGGCACTATATCACCCTCTCAAACCAAACAATCTGTGGCTATTTAGGTAACATGAAACCAACTTTTTTGGACACTCACATCTATTATATATTTCTATGATAGAAGGACTAGAGTTGAAGGACGAGCGGCAAGTAACTAGAATGATTGTACTTATTAATTTTTATCATCTGATCTTCTAATCTTATCCAACATATTACCATGCTTTTAAAAAGCTTCAGAATTTTCGGTCAACGTGCACAGAGATGAAATTGAAAATTGTTTTGAGTTTATATGAATTAAATTAAGCTGCCCACTTGATATATGAAGTGTAATTTTCTTTTTTCCCTCAAGGTGTGTAGATATATATATATATATATATATAGAGAGAGAGAGAGAGAGAGACATTTGTTATTCAATAAAGAGCAGTTGAGGACTTTTAGTGAGTCGGTCTCCCCGGCAGCACGAGGAGCAAGAGATGACTTGTTAATTAGCCAGCCAATCATATCTATCATAAAGTATCATTGTCGTCATCATCAGCATTATTAACGATAATGACGATGATGAATGATCATGAAGAGGAGGAGGAGGAATGGCCAAAAGCCAAACGGAGAGGAAAGACTAGGAGATGGGAGCATGTTGATAATCAACTTTATTAGCATTTAATAGCCTTCGACACTGACCCTGAAGGTGGTTGATCAGTATGGTAGAAAGACTTTGAACGTGGGACTAACGTGTCATCGCTTTCGTTGGGTCGAAACTCGAAATTAAACGAATTGTTCACACACATCCAATGGATCGAAACGCAGATGCAATCATACATGTCTGTCGAGGTAACCAGAAGCAGCAACAATGACTCGAGAACCACTTGCCACGTTCTAGACAGACCCTTTCTTGATGACTCCTATCTGCATTTATTCATAAACCTCCATCATACTACAGTACACATATACAGGGCTCCCAACACAGAAAAAGAACAGTATAAGTGGAGACCGTTGTTTCAGAATTTGTGTCTGTGATCGAAGGGGCCGATGCATTTTATAAAGAAAATTTATATTATGTTTGGATGCATATGGATTTTTATTTGAATTTGAATTTAAATTTCAACCAAATTTATTGTTTAATCCATTGTTGGATAATTAAATATGTGTGGATTTGAATTTCACTCAAATCTAAATCTAAATACTACCTCAATCTCTTTATAATTTAAAATCCTTTCTAAGACCTTTATTATTTCTAAATTGAAGTCTTTCTCTTCCTTCACATTCATTTGTTGACTTCACAGCCTTCTCCACTTTGATATCGTCAATCAAGACTAGATTGCCGATGACAATCAGGACTAGACTGTCAAAGCCACTTGTATTGGAGCATTGGCAACTGTTGACGCTGATTGAGACTAGACTACTAGCGTCAACTAGGAGCAGATCACTGGCACAAAGTAGGATTAGATGGCTAGCTTCGACCGACTGCAAGTGTCAATTGGGACCAAACTTGATCAGGTTTAGGAATTTTAAATTTTGATTTACTTTCAATCACCCTCCTCTGCCACTTGGTGTCGATTTGTCATCGTTGTCATCATTCGATGGCAATCTAATGTCAGTCCACTGCCACCCCTTGGTGATGGTTTGTTGTATCCTACTAGTCTCATTTTGCTTGCCTCTGTTGCTGTTTGAGACTATCTGTGATCACCATCTTCACTTCGTCCGCCTTTGTTGTTCGACGCCAAACGACGCTATTAATAAGGAATGGTTTGACGTCATCATCCAGGTCTAATCCATAGCCTTTAGACTGCTATCATCATCTCGTGCTAATTTGTAGGCATTGATGAAGACTAGATTGTTGATGTTGATTCAAACCAAACTGTCGCTGTCAATTAAGATTCGATCACTAATGTCATTTGAGTTCAGATAGCTAGAGTCAACCGAGATTGAGTTGTCACCCCTAATTAGAATCGACTCACCAACTTTGACCAAGATTAGAAAGTTAACGTTGTTCAAGTTGCTTTTAAGTTCAAACATAAAATTTAAAATTTTATTTAAGATTCAAACAAAATATTTAAAATATGAGATTTTAAATTTAAATTCTCAACCCACATACACCTTTATAAACACAATCTTAAAGTAAGATGAGATGGGCAGCCTGATACAGCACACGAGTTCTTGGCAGTGGTGGGACCAATGTCATGCAAGCAAGGCAAAGTCAAGAGAGGAAGACCTAGATCATTATAATTTTTTAGTTTTAAAAGAATCAAAGGTTTTCTTTCTGATCCTTGTTGCATGCCTTACTCCCTCTCTGCAGAATGTGTGTAATTTGTAAATATTTATGTAATAAGATTCTGGATGTATCTCATTTACCAATTACCACTGCAATTCAATACATAGGCTTGCTTAATGACACACAAGGCTTCAATGGAGAATTTTAATATTTGTCTTTTTAATATTTCGCTTATTGATTGTATAAGTTTTATGGCTTCTGACATTACCTGATTTCAGTCTTTGTGTGGTGTTACCGTGGCCTTATATTAAAAAAAAAAACAAAACAAAACATAGGCTTGATAACACACTAGCCAAAAAAAAAAAACTGTAGACTGGGGGGCAAAAGAGGAAAATCAAAAGAATATTCGTTTCTTATAACAACAGTAGCTTCCAGCAGTTGCAGAGGAAGCAGGGAATGCAAACGTTGATACGTTACAGAAGGTGGAGGTTTTATGTTGCTTCAAAGGATGGCATCCTCGACCACGATTGATTCCGGCAACCGGCTCAGCCTTCGCGTCACATTGTGTATAGGACTCGGTGAACATCTCGGAAAATGTGCACTTCATATGGTGTCCTTTTTAAAATTTAAAAAAAAAATCTTATTTGGATGATTCTTTTTTTTTTCCTTATTTTTAATCTTATATTTGTAAGTTATTACTAGTGCAATTTATATCTTATATTTAGTGTAACTCTAACAAAACAGTATAAATTACATCAATTTAACGCGTAAGCATGTCTAGGGAAGTTGTTTTGGTGATTTTTAAATTTCGTAATAATTTCCATATATTATTATACTTTTATTTAATGAGGAGACTTCATAGGTTCGTCATTAGGCGTGTGTTTGGTTTTAGCTCGTGTTAAATAGATACTCTACATGCTTTTCACATGAAACCTAACATAATATTATATATATATATATATATATAGAGCGTGCTAAAGTATACTTTTAATTATTTACTTTTATATAAAATTTTAATAATTATTTTTCAATCATTTAACTTTAACATCATTAATTTTAAATAATTATTTTTTGCACAAATCATCATTATTTTAAAAAATTAAACTTAATATATAAA